TATAAATTCTCCCTAGAAAAGCAAGAGTTAATCGAGAATATAGCGTAAGAAATTCTCTCTAGAAAAGCAGAAATTAACCGAGAATATGCCTCTAGAAATTCTCTCAAGAAAAGCAGGAATTAACCAAGAATATACCGTTAATAATTCTCCCTATTAACAACTAAAATTGCTTAGAAATCAGATTAACCTATCCTCCCTTTTTATATAACTACATAAATCTTTCTGTTTACTAATTTTTAGTTTTCTTTGAAAATATATGAAGAAAATGAGTGCCAAAATAATTGCGTTTTTTTTTTCTTCTTAACTACTTTGTTCTCAGTATGAAAAGGTTCGTAAGCAATATATTTTAGCTTTCTTTGATCTGCTATGGACAGAGTGCAGATGGCCCATTGTGTAGCTCCGCGCTAGAAAACAGTGCCAGCAGCTTTCTTTGATTGATGAGCTTTAATGCCAGACATAATTTTTAACTGGGGACATTTATTGAGTATTTAAAAGTATTATGTATCACTTGGGAAAAAATGTCTAATAATAAAGGTAATTTTTGCATCTGTATTGTTGCATGAAAAGATTTTCGTTAAATAAATCATAAAAGCATTTAAGAGTTTGACATTGATGAATGGGCTTGTAAAAATTGAGGTACTTGTTTCATTGTAATTCCGCCCCCCAGTGACTCAGATTGTGTAACTTTGCACTTAACAACAACAAAACCAAAACCATTGTAGTTCCTCCTGGCGGTACTTTTTATGCACAGAGCTTAATGTTTGACATACAAAAGTTTTATTTTTCATGCATTACCTAGCATGAGCATATAACAACTTTTACCAGCGTTGAATTTGTTCATAGAATTGCACCAGATGGAATATATTAAAGCATGGTGTATCGTCTATTTTTCAAAGGTTCTAGTTATGGTAATACTTGTCATACATTAGTTGATAAATATGTGAAAATATTAGTTAGTTTTATTCTGCCTTGAATTCCTGGCTTATTTGTACAATGAAATACATATCAGATGCTTCGAATATGCTCATAATTCTGTATGCTCAGCCGCGGACATACTAGAGCTAAATTCTGTATACACCGCAATTTAAGCATGTGCATTTACGAGTTTATACTTATTTGGGATTCTTATCCGTGTTAATTACAACAGGAAGTCAGTACACATTTATTCCGGTCAAATCACAAAAGTCCTGGAGTTTTTATTTCAGTTTTGTTGTGCCTCTGTTCTATCTTTATCATATTCTTAAATATGGTTCATATTTCTTAATTATGGTCAAGTGAACGTAATAAAATCAAGTGAAGTTTTAAAAACAATTAAAAAAAATTGTTTCAAATGTTTATCGGAATCGTCTTGTATATAGTGTTTCTTAAGCCTATTTACACTGCTGACGTATATATGGAATTTCTTAAGGTTATTTAAGCTGGATACTCAATACAACAACAAGACAATTTAGACAGTGTTTTCATAATGAACAAAGGTGAAAAATCGAACTTTCTCTATCTACTACTTCTGTAGAAAGAGTCTTTCAAGACTCTTTCCACGTGTTTCACAACTTACTAGGCAGTTGCTTCCCGTTTCATGATTGTTTATTCAACAACAAGACTAGTTTCTAAACGTTTCGGGCCATGATGACTGATGTGAAACATAAAACACATGTTAATGGGTGCTGGAGTACATTAGATATACAAAAAAAGAAATTAAGATCACCATACATTAGAGCCAAATAACATCAACATTTTACAAGATTCTCCAACATCGAAATATGTGACTGAAAATTCTCGTCTATTGGTAATCGCATTTTGTGTGAAGACATTTAAATAATTGGGCAAAACAGTGGTCACTAAATGAGGGGAGCATCAAGGAATCTGGGCAAAACAGTGGTCACTAAATGAGGGGAGCATCAAGGAATCTGGGCAAAACAGTGGTCACTAAATGAGGGGAGCATCAAGGTAATCTGGGCAAAACAGTGGTCACTAAATGAGGGGGAGCATCAAGGAATCAATTTGGATCAATGCTCATGGAAGAGGGCCTAATAAAGAGCTTAGACAACAACCATGACACAATAAAATCCGTGACGAATACGGACTATATTTATCATTCTTAAATATTAAGAGATGGCCATATTTGAAAGAAGTGGGCATAGTACATGCTAAATAATTAAGGTTATATCTTTATTGGAAACAACCAATTATCAGGGATAGAATACTTTTAATGTAAACGCTTCAACATTATAGTTTCGTCAGGAACTCAGGACTTCGACTGAACTCGAATCAGATGTAAAGGATTTTTGTTTTTGTTTGTTTGGAATTAAGCACAAAGCTACACAATGGGCAATCTGTGCTATGCCCACCACGGGTATTGAAACCCGGTTTTTAGAGTTGTAAGTCCGCAGACATGCCGCTGGGGGTCTATATTATTCGGAGGTCAATTCATGCGAAAGTCACAGTGCAGATAGCCCACTATTGCGTTTAATAAGAAACAAACTAATAATTTTTTTTACCTGCTATATCGTTACATACCTCTCACCCCCCGCCAATGACTCAGCTTATAACGGCAGATGTATAGGAACAGAACAAAGCATAACGATGTGAATCGTTGAACATTAAAAATAATTTAACTGATGTCGGGTAGTTTGTGTGACATGACCTCACAATAACATTGACAATAAGTTGCTATTGCGTTAACCTGTACTGCATAGGGCAAGTAAAGAAGGTTTTATAAAAATAAAAAAACATTATAAGTTCTTTGTAATGCACTGCTACACAAGTTGCCAACTAACCGTTCAGGATTCGCTGGCATAGAGCGTTATATACCATAATAATTGTTATATTGTCAATGCCTGATCTAAGTAGTGTTTCGATCAAGATTTCATGTGTTACAACCTGGTGAGCTTAATAATGAGAGAAAGGCCTCGCCAGCAGTGGAGTGTCATGCACAAAGTGTGAGCTTGAGATGTTATTATGTTCTGCTTTATGTAAACTTGTTGTGTAGCTTTGGTGAAGAAAGGTTTGTAAAACATCATCAGTTTTATTATCTTGTAATGTTACAGTATAAACACGTTCTCTCTGATAATTGGTCGAATGTCACAATAAAAACTCTAATTCTCACTACTAATTGGTCGAATGTCATCTTACTACAATGAAGCAATGGCGTGGCCGTCTATCTATCTAATGTGATTAATAAAATAAATACAATGGTGCCATCTGTTGTGCTGTAATACAACAAGATCTCGATACCAGAACTAGTGATTGAGGCTCGTAAAACGTGACGCCATTTATTTAATTGCACCACAAGCAAAAATCCATAAAAAATTCACATTTTAGGTATTCATGATTCAGACAATTAGAAAAATAACAGTGGAATGTGCAACAACCATTTCTTTATAATATAACACAATTTCAAATAAAAGTACTCTCCTCACAACAAGAACACGACTTTCACTAGGAATGTACGCGAGGGTTTGATTACATCTTTATTGATGTAAGTTTTAAATGTAATACTGAGAAACTGGAGTTCCCAAAAAACTTATTTTTTCAATAACGGTAGCACTTTTAATATATAAAAACATTACAGTTTATATCAGTAGAATGTTGTGAAGATTTTGAGCTCTGTACATTGAATCATTTTGATGCAGTAAATTATGTATGACTAAAGAGCAAAATCCGAACACTTTTCCCGTGCAGTACTTCCCATAAAATAGATAATTTTTTTTACAAAATGTTCACCATTTTTACAATCAGTAATTATTAGCACAAACAGCCTCCCTTAGGGTGGCTTTCCTGCTAGTAATAAAATCACTTTCTCACTGCTAATTGGTCGAATGACACAATAAAAACATTTTCTCACTGCTCATTGGTCGAATGTCACAACGAAAACACTTTCTCACTGCTAATTGGTCAAATGTTACAATGAAAACATGTTTATCGCTGCTAATTGGCCCAATGTCGTATTAAAACACTTTCTCCCTATAAGCTGGTCGAATGTCTATTTGTTTGTAATTAAGCACAAAGCTACACTATAGGCTATCTGTGCTCTGCCAACCAAGGGTATCGAAACCCAGTTTCTAGCATTGTAAGTCCGCAGACATACCGCTGTGCCACAATTTCTCTTTTGTGATTGGTCAAATGTTACAATAAAACATTTTCTCACTGGTAATTGATCGAGTGCAATGCTGATATTTTTAACCTTCGTTAAACTTCTGTTACGCATATTTATAGTTTTTTGTAATTATCGCTCGATTGATGTAATGTTTCATTAGTTTTAAGAATTCAAATACTTTTAACTGATCGGCTGTCAGTTAGTCCATTGACTGAAACATATAAAGATGGTTACTGAAAATCTGACCGAAACTTTTGTATTAAATAATAACACCATGGAAGAGAAAAAGTTACTTGAAAAAAAAAAGCCACATGGTTCTACAGGAACTAATTCATAAAACAATTATTTCAATCCCCAAATAAGTACAATAAATGATCTTATAGCTCACGAACCAGTCTATCCTGGTCAAGTTGGTATTCAGGCTACGGATTAATCCTTCCTGGTCAAGTTAGTATTCAAGCTATGGATTAATACCAGTTGTTTTATTCTGAAGATGCATCAAAACGATATTTTCCAAAAATCTTTATACGTGTAATTCTGATAAGTGTGGTAATCATATGACAAATATTAATATGTATTTTTAATTACTTCTTCTGTTATAATACAATTAAATTAAATATAATACAATAATGGCGAATTACATTAAATATTATCATTCCGGGTTGTGAAAAGTGATGTTTCAATTGCTGCTGACACCAAGGAAAGTTTTCAGGCTCGTCTTCTGTTGTTGCTTTTTTTAAACTGAAAGAAAGCCACAGAACCACTGTTATTATAAGCCGCCGAATGTTTCGGCTAGGTTCTCCTTAGAAAGCTAAGATCTGGGGTTAGATTCTCTGCGTTTGACAGAATGCGGATAGCTCATTGTGTGGCTTTGCGCTTAAACAAAAAGTTGCTTCAGATAAAACTACCGTTTGTTACTTGGCAGTAACAGTTCACGCCAGATCCGTAACACTTTGGATTTCAGTAGCTGGTTTTTGAATTTTAATGCATGTTTGTCTACAATTAATTTCGAATGATCTTTGGTACACAAAGCAGGACGGTAGTGGTGCAGAATGCTCACCTGAGGCGACACCATGAAAGAATTCCATGCCTTAAAATGCCTCCAAACGAAATGAATACCACACGTGATTATCTTGGAAGGTTGGACTATAAGTTTGGATCTGACGTAGGGGCTCCATATCTTCCTTTCGCGTATCACATGTTTCAAAGTTCTGAGCGGCATGTCGGTATCCGAATACAGAGGATCCTCTGGATGTTGGTTACAAAAGAAAGAATTTTGGAACACTAAGTTACTCCAATTTTTCGTTGGCAAGGACGTTATCATTTCCTGAAGAGTTCGATGATTCTGTGGAAAAATAAATTCATCCATATCTACCAAGACCACGTATTTATAATCAAACATGTTTCTATAAATACAATCCTGAGTGCTAGCCAACTGACCAAATGCCCAGGTTTTTGTTATCACCGACTTTGGTAGGCTCCAAGGAAGAAGTTCAATTTGCAATCCTTGTTTTTGTAGAGAAGATATGAACAGCTTGGTCTCGTTTGATATTTGGTAGTTATAAAAGGTAAAATGATTAACTCCTATTATGCTGTATACAGCCACAAACTCTGCCAAAGCTAATGTGTCGTTAAACGGTCCAAAGAAGGGACGAGCACAAGCTGCCATCTTATTTTGAGTTTCTGAAAAATTATTCTTATGTCCAATATGGACAGAAAGTTTCCTGGATTCCACTGACGTAGGATTATGACGTAAGTTTATGAAAGTGGGAGGTCGTCTCTTTCTAGGCCAATGACAGATAAAGTACACAGCTGAGTACTTTTGAAAATGATGCTCCTCAATGACTTCGTAGCTGGTAGGGATCACGATGGAATCATTTCGGCTCTGGTTGTAAGCGACGCAGCTGATATTCCTTTGATTTAGGCCAACACGTGGTGCAACAGCTACAACTCGAACAAATCTTTTGAAAGGTTTCAATCTGTCATCCCAGAATGCCGAGTATACGTGGATATTTTTAGTAAGTTTTATCCAGTCATCTTTTTGGTTATTCTCAGGATCTTTTGTGATTTTCAATCCAATTGGTCGTACATAATCCGTTTTCCAAAGAGCATGCAGCTTATTAGGAGACAGAAATGCATAAAATCCAACAGTAATCATTGTAGAAAACAGGGCCACTCTGAAAAATGTTGGTGATTTATTTAAGTAGTTGAGCATCTCAAGCTTAGCTTGTCTGTTGTCTTTTTGCTTTTCGATGGACATAGATAGTTGTGGATTCAGTCAGGTGAGTCTAAAATCATAATAATTCCACATTTAAATATATTACAGGAAGAACATGTCAAACGAAGAGGTTTTTAAATATATTTACTTCTATTTTCGTAAATAAATATATATATATATATCTATAATAACTTTCAATTTAACAAATTTATACATGCAAGGAAATGAACCAACTTTTGCTCAGTTCAAAGTATAGTAGGGATATTAAGTTGTCATGCCGTTAATTGGCTGTGTTTAGAACCAAGTAAGTTAGGACTTTTCGTCTGAGGTCAAGAAATGTCAGAGAGGTTCTTCGAACTGACACCAGCGGGCGCGTTTGAAGCCTGTCACATGATTTGTATTAGTGCGTGATTATTAATATTATACAATTTTCATACCTTAGTATACGATTTACACATATTCGATTAAAATGTAAAGACACTCGTTATGTTTAGTCTAGTAAAGTAAATTTATCCGTCTTGAAACACACCATTTTTGATGCTGATGGGATAACTTTACAAAATAAATGTTCTGGTAAGTTAACTCTTGTTTCAAACCAATTCAATAGCGTAGGGTCATAACATTTTATCATTCACAGTAGTATCTATAATATGTACATGTATCAGTAGAAGAGGATTTTATTCTACTTAATCTCTTCATTTGTTACAGGTTAAAAAAATCACGAGACAACTGTTTGTTAATAATTTATCTTAATTATGCAAAATCTCGTGTAGATGGAAAGCTTTGTTGCTAGGCCTATTTTTGCGAACTTTCAGTTATTTCATTTGACCCAAATGGATAACAATGCTGGTCATACTTTAGGTATGTGAGTATAGTTGTCATACTATAGGTATGTGAGTATAGCTGCCATACTTTAGGTATGTGAGTATAGTTGTCATACTATAGGTGTGTGAGTATAGCTGTCATACTATAGGTATGTGAGTATAGCTGTCATACTTTAGGTATGTGAGTATAGTTACCAAACATGCTCGCCCTTTCAGCCGTGGGGACGTTATAATGTGACGGTCAATCCCACTATTCGTTGGTAAAAGAGTAGCCCAAGAGTTGGCGGTGGGTGGTGATGACTAGCTGCCTTCCCTCTAGTCTTACACTGCTAAATTAAGGACGGCTAGCGCAGATAGCCCTCGTGTAGCTTTGCGCAAAATTCAAAAACAAACAAACAAACAAACCAGAGGGAAGGCATTCAGCAAACAGCGCACTCTGTCACAAGGGGAGAGGATTTATTATATGGTTCATAACGAGCCCAGAGTCGAACGCACGGAAAGCGTAATTAGCGAAACCACGTTTCAAACCGAGGTCTTATCAAATGAGCGCTCCGGAAAGCTAATTGCTAGGACCAACAATTTTGAAGTAATACTTGCTCTAAAGAGAAAAGTGAGCATTATATGCAGTATTGGAAATAATTATGAAAACAGTGAATAAAATGGGTATATAATGTAAATATATTAGAATTCTCCCTCTCTATTGTATGAAAATTAACTGCACCAGAGTATAGTAACGTAGTGATACTATATAATACGATTGGCTGTCATACATCCAGTCAGACAGTCACATAGCAGTATTAAGCCTACAAAAGTACAGGGGATCATACATGTTTTGGATGGTAAAGGTTACTTCATGTGACAGATTCAGACGAAACTTTATGTTTCAGTAAGAGCTGATTGTCAACTATGAAGAGGGTACGTGAAATGGTATTTTTGATAATAAAACTGGTTGAGGTAGAAAGTCTAAATAGAATAAATCTAGCCAATGATCTAGCTGTAAGTACAGGTGTGAATGTTACTCCCAGACCTATTAAGATACAGATAATCAGGAATTAATTAGCTTTAGTGGATGTGTAGCTAGTTTAAATGTGGTCCACAAATCACGAGAGATAACCAATTCAAAAAGATGAAATGGACATCAAACTTCATACAAAAGGATAAGGAAAGCTGGAGGAGCGTGTTATTTATAGGTGAATTCAAATTGTTTGGTAATAATCAACGACACTTTGCTAGATGACAGAGAGATCAACGTATAACATCTTGAACACAAATACAAGTGTGGGCTTCATTTCATCTGGTATTGAAGATCTACACAAAGCTGACAAAATCCTGACTGTCGACAAGTAAAAACAGGTTCTTATGTATCATACAATTTCCTGAGGAACAAAACCTGTTGGTCAGAGATTCATCTTCCAGCAAGACAGTGACCTCAAGTATGCAGCAAATGAGGTGAAATGATACCTGTATGTAAAAAGGGTGATGGAATACTCGTAAGCATGGCTTAGCTTGTATAAAGTGCCGATGTGCATATCATTAACGCTGTATGTGTTTATATGGAACCTGAGAAGGTTAAACGCAACTTGAATGATTAATACAGAACATGCGAACAGTATCTCAAAATCATTCATTGAAAAACTTATGGTATTATAAAAATAAATTTTTATGTTCTGTTTAAATCAAATACAAAATACTAGAGCATTGTACAACTTAATGAAATTACTCGTTGTTGTGATGCCTGTATGAGTACCACCAATGTTTTTCCATAATTATTTCCAGCGCTGTATATATATTAGCATTTTAGTGTGTGTACTTGATGAATAAATTTCAATTAGTTTTTAAACATGTACGATTGTGTTGAAAAACCTACAGATTCTGGCCTAGAGCGTCTTAAAGAATGTTTATCAACATGGTAGCTTATTATCAATCCTAATATCCCGAAGAAAACTATGCCTACAATAGAACCCAGTGGCACAGCGGTATGTCTACGGACTTACAACATAGCAGGGGGAGGAAGAAGTGGAATATCAAACCTAACCCTCCCAGGTCCCGATAAAGTGGTTGCGTGTGTAATTTTATTAGCAACCATAGAACAGAGTGTGCAGTTGAACTTGCTCCTTTATATCTAATGTCTTTGCAAACATGCTCAAAATCATAAGGTCAGACGACCCTGAAAGCTTCACAAGTCTGTCACGTGTGGCTGGTTTTTACACAGGCTGAATTTTGTGATTATCTTTAAATCTAATTTCAAATTCCAACCCACCCTTGAATTTCTAAATTAAATTTCCAGGAGAACGAAATCTAATTTTAACATACAACCATGAAGTATTCTTCATTTTCTTTCCAAGAGGATTTTTTTTATTCGTTGCCAAAATCTTTTTTACACTCTAGATGTTACTTATTTACCTACCATACGTTAATGACAGATAGACACTCACTGAGGTCTGTAATAATAATTGTTCTTTGTGAGTAACTGTGACTGAGCCAAAAATGCTTCAAGTTGATTGGTTAGTTGTTGTTAAGCGTAAAGCTACACTGGGCTATCTATGCTCTGCCTATTACGGGTATCGAAACCCAATATTTAGCTTTATAACCCTCAGAATTACTGCTGAACCACTAAGGGGCTACTTCAAGTTGTAACATAAGACAAATAGATTAAATTTCCTTATTTGATTGAATTTATTAAAGCGTCAAAACATTGATACTGATATAACGAATAACTTTGTTCCTCGCTGTATAATAACAAGATTTTGTTTTTCATTTTTTGTATATTTAATGAAGAATTTTAATAGTTAGTTTGTTTTTTTTATTTCGCGCAAAGCTACACGAGAGCTATCTGCGTTAGCTATCCTTAATTTAGCAGTGTAAGACTAGAGGGAAGGCAGCTAGTCATCACCACTCACCGCCAACTCTTGGGCTATTCTTTTACCAACGAATAGTGGGGTTGACCTTGACATTATAACGCTCCCACGGCTGAAAGGACGAGTATGTTTGGTGGGACGGGGATTCGAACCCGCAGATTGCGAGTCGAGAGCCCTAACCTCCTGGTCATGCAGGGCCACTTTAATAGTCTCAAATAAGTTCTTTGATCATAGAGATTTTGAGAAAAGTGCATTACACATACATGTAAAGCACGCAATAAGATTTAGTGTGTTCGTCACATTGCAGTAAAAGGTAATACGGTAATCAGCTAAAACCGAAAGACTTGAAATATGAAGTCCAGGAAAATGACTTTACAAATGTCAGCTTCCTGCTATGTGTTCCAGTGCCAAATGATACTTCATACTCTATAATATACCAGTAAGTTTTGATACAAAATTAAGACACAATTCCATTTCAAAGAATTCTAAAGCAAACAATTCATAGTGTCTTGTTGACGTTCTCTATGTTATTCCTATCTATGCCGTTCTTCAAGATTGGGAGAACATTTCAAGAAAAGAGATTTAAGGGTTGATACTCTGCCCAAAACTTGGTTTTTTAATACAGTATAATAGGCTGAAAGAGAAACATTTTATTCAAATTACAACTTAGCATAGTATGCACACAAATTAATTTCTTAGCGTAAGCGCGATATACATATATATAGGAGTATCAAATTAATGGAATTTTTTGATGATTTTTAATAACTCAAACCTAAACTTTCTACTTAAATATATCATTCTAAAAAACCATAACAAAAACAAATAATAAATCTTACTATAAAGATGATCCATTATGTGTCTGTGTGTGTCTCTGTGTTAGGATCCATCACTCAGAATTAGCTGGAACGATTACTGTAATGTTTTGTAAGATAACTGAAAACTGTCCGAAGGTGTTCGTGGACTATTTTGTTTAAGGAATTTTGCCCGAGAAGAGGGTGAAAAGCCCCAGAAATAGGGCAGATTTTAACTTTTTATAGAATTTTGGCCTCCATCGACCAAAGCTGGTTGGCTTGATTTCCGTAATTTTTGTATGGTAATTGGAAACTGTCTGATAGTATACATGAAGTAACTTGTTTAAGGAGTTTTGTCCTAGAAGGGGATAAAAAAACCCAGAAATGGGGCACATTTTCACTTTTCATAAAACCACAGTTGGCTAGCCTGATTACTGTACTTTACCCCCCCCCCAGTGGCACAGCGG